CCAGCCCTGCTGTGCACAAGGGCAAGTGAGGCTCAGAGCCATCAGATAAAGGAAGAGCAGGTCCCCAGCCAGGCAACCTGCATTCGACCCCAGCTCTGCCACTGTCACTTGTGTGACTGGACAATCACCTGAGCCTTCCTTGAGGCCGTTTCCCTATCTGTAAAATGCGGGGGTTGCACTGCCTCTCAGGCTGTGTGCATGGCGGGAGATGGCCTCCGTGAGTTATTGCCCCTCAAGGGCTTAGTGAGTGAGTGTCATGTCGTAGGCATTCGAGACCTGTCAGATGTCGTTATTGGTTTCATTAATGTTCCTACCAAGGTCACATTGCTAATTCATTGGAAGAGACCCTAAAATTTGCCTCGTATGTGACATTTGGTTCCTCTTGGTCTCTGGGCCTCAGTCTCCCCATCTGTAACTTGGGGGTTAGACCTAAGGCTCCTCCACCGGGCTCAGACGGGCTGGTTTCCTGGGGCCACAGGGATGGTTGCTCTCATCTGCCTGGGGGACTGCGCTGGGCCGGGGAGGGGCAGGAGAGGGCCTGGTTGAGGAGGACATCTTTGCTGACCCAGGCTCTTCCGGCAAGCCTGGACCACAGTGGCTGTGGGGTCCACTCTGCCAGGGGTCCCGTTTCCTCCTCTCCCCCTGAGCGGGCGGGGCTGAGCTCTCAGATGCTCCTCTCTCCCTGCACCCTCCCAGCTGAAGAAGAGAGCCCTGGACCAACTGCGGTTGGTGAGGCCGAAGCCCATGGGGGCGCCCGCAGGGGACTCCCCGGAGCAGCTGCTGCTGGAGCCCTGTGCAGGTGAGTGCGCGGAGGCAAAGCTGTATCCGTGTTGCTCCCGGTGTCCAGGGATGTGTGCCGCTGGGTGTCCTTTAGCTTGGGTGGCCTCTTTGGCCTGGAAGGGCCTGTTGTGAGGGTTCCAACAGGGGTGGGGGTCATGCTGGTGACCTGAGAGACAAGACCACCCTGCTGCCATGGTGATCGCCAAGGTTGAGGGAGACCCTGCGGGGAGGTGCATGTAGGCGTGACTGTGACTGTGGGTTCAGACAAACATGGGCTTGTTCTCGTCTGGCAGAGTGTGTGTAGTGGTGGGTGCTGTGAGGACCCAGGGGGGTTCCCGGAGGCAGTAGGGTGAGGTCTCAGGCCAGACAGGGAGAAGGGGCTGTGGGAGCTCAGATGAGGGAGTGGCAAATCTGGGCAAGAGGAGCGGGTAGTCAGGGAAGACTTCCTGGAAGAGAGGGAGTTTCTGCTGGGGCCTTCATAGATAAAGAGGAGTTCGTTCCAGGCAGAAGGCACAGAGGCATGGCTGTGTGTGGTGTGTTTGGAGGGTCTTGGGTACAGCAGCTGAGTATTGAGCACCAGCTCTGTCAGGCATTGGGGATGTGACTGTCCCTGCCCTCATGGAGCTTGCCGTCTAACTTGGGGGTAGGGGATCAGATAATCCCACCTGTGAACACAATTAGAGAGTGTGAGGTGTGCAGTGGAGGAGAACCGGGGGCCATGGGGCACATGCCAGGGGCCCTGCTGTCTGGGGACCAGGGAAGGTGTGACCTAGGCTCTGAAGGGAGGGCAAGGGTTAACTGGACTGAGTGGCGCGGGGGTGGGGCTTTGGGCAGCCTCAGGTCATGCAAAGGCCCTGTGGTTGGAGGCAGCTGAAGGGAGAGTGGAGGTGGTGGTGTGGGATCAGTGGCTGGCAGCCTCCCCAGGCTCTCAGGCAGGACTGCGTCACCTGCGTGGGGGCTGTGGTTTTTATTCCTGAGAATCTGGGAAGTCACTGGTGTGCTGAAAGCAAGGGAGTTAATATGATCTGATTTGCTTTTTAAAGCCTCTATTGCTGCTGGGTGGAGAATGACCTGTAGGGGGCAGGGATGAGGCAGACAATCAGGGAGGAGCCTACTGCCACCGTGGGTCCTACTAAGGGAGAGTGTGTGTGTGTGTGTGTGTGTGTGTGTGTGTGTGTAGGAGGAGCAGCAGCAGGACTTAGGAAGGGATGGGTGGCGGTGTGGGTTTTGGGGTATCAAGGAGCTGGTATGCTGCCTGCCTGTGCCCTTATCTCTTCTGCGCCCCTCCCCTGCCACAGAGCCAGAGCGGAGCCTCAGACCCTACAGTTTGGTGCGGCCGCTGCTGGTGTCTGCCCTGCGGCCCGTGGTGCTGTTGCCTGAGTGCCTGGCGCCCCGGCTCATCCGCAACTTGCTAGACCTGCCCAGCTCCAGGCTGGACTTCCAAGTGTGCCCAGCGGGTGAGACCGTGTGCTGTGGAGGGGAGGGCTGGGGGGCCCTCTGGGCAGCTGGGCCCACAGACCCTTCATCTCTCCCTCTCCACTCCCTGTGCAGAGAGCCTCTCCGGGGAGGAACTGTGCCCATCCTCAGCACCTGGAGCCCCCAAGGCTCAGCCTGCCACCCCTGGGCTGGGCAGCAGGATCCGGGCCATCCAGGAGTCTGTTGGGAAGGTGGGTGCTGAGGGCTGGTCTGGGGTGCTCAGAGAGGTGGCCCAGAGCGGGAGCTGCTGTTCTGGGCTTGAGCGCTGGCATCTGAGTGCGGGCCATGCTCTTGCTGCTCACTGGCAGGGTGGCCCTGGGCAAGTCCTTTCCCTCCTGTGGCCCTCAGTTTCCTCACCTGTGGCCTGGGTGTGTGGGGCAGTTGACTGCATGTGGGCCCCCCTTGAGGTGTCTGGCTGACACAGCTCACCTACACGTCCTTGTCGCTGAACTTGCCACTCTCCTGGGAGCTGGCGGTCGGCTGGCGGGTGGAGGGTGGTGGGTGGGTTTGGGTGGACTTCATCCTCTGGGTGGGGAGGTCTGGGTCCTGAGGGGGAGGTCTGTATCTCCAGGTTGCTCCATGAGCCCAGGCTTCTTGTCTGTCCTGTTGGGCTCCTTCCTCGTTGCCAGGGTCCCTCTGGGTGGGGAGGCAGGACTTGCATCTGGGAAGGCGGTGATAGGGGACCCTTCTGGGAGCAGAGCATGGGAGGCTGATGTCTCTGGCCCGAGAGTACAGTGTAGCCTCGATCCTCCAAGCAGAAGCACTGCCTGCTGGAGCTGGGCGCTCGGGGTGTGCGGGAGCTGGTGCAGAACGAGATCTACCCCATCGTCATCCATGTGGAGGTGACTGAGAAGAATGTCCGGGAAGTCAGGTGAGGCAGGTGGGCGGGTGGGGCAGCGGGCAGGGCACTCAGACCCCAGAGCTTGCGCCTTGAGGATGTCTCTCTCCCTTCCCTCTCTCTCTCCCTCCCCCACTCTCTCCCCTCCTCGCCTCTCTCTCCTCCTCACCCTCCTTCCTTCTCTTACTCCTCTGTCTTCCTACCCACCTCTCTCTCCTCCACCTCTCTCTCTCCCTTCTCCCCACTCTATCTTCTCCTAACCCTCTCTCCCTCCCATCTCATTCTCCTATCTTCTTTCTCACCTCATCCTCGTCCTACCTCTCTCTCCTTCTCTCTTCTACCTCCCTTCCTTCTATCTATCCATTCTTTCCTTCCACTCTTTCTTCCTACCACTTTTCATCCTCGCTCGTTCTCTCTCTTCTTACCCTCTCCTTCTCCCTTTTCCTCGTCTCCTCTACCTCTTCTTCCCCCCCACTTCTTCTCCCTTCCTACCTCCTCTCATCCTTCCACCCCTCCTCTCTCTCCTATTCCATCTGCCATCTGTCTCTCTTGAGTTGTCCGTCTTCTCTCTCTGACTCTTCCCCCTTTTTCCGTCCCTCTCTCCCTGTCTCTGTGTCCGTCTTGGTCCCCCACTTTGACCACCGCCCACTCCTCTCTCGGCAGGGGTCTGCTGGGCCGGCCAGGCTGGCGGGACTCAGAGCTGCTGAGGCAGTGCCGTGGCTCGGAGCAGGTGCTCTGGGGGCTGCCCTGCTCCTGGGTGCAGGTGTCCGCCCATGAGTGGGGCCACGCAGAGGAGCTGGCCAAGGTGGTGCGTGGCCGCATCCTGCAGGAGCAGGCCCGCCTCGTGTGGGTGGAGCGCGGCAGCAGCAGAGGCTGCCCCGGCAGCAGTGAGGCCTGAGGTTCATCTGATACCTGCAGCTTCTTCTCAAGTCAGGGGGGACCCTGGTGTCTGCGGTGCAGCTGGGCCCTCCCACCCTGAGCCTTCCTAGACCCTTGGACTCTCAGACACAGGGTCCTTGGCTCTGGCATCTCACCCCCAAGACTGTCTCTGGCCCTGCCGAGCCTGCAGGAGCCCCGGGACAGAGCGCCCATTCCCCTCTACTTGCTGCTCTGGGCCTCCCCACATGTCCCGGGGTCTCCACATTTCCACTAGTGGGTCTCACATGTGTGTCTGTGTCTTCTCCTTAAACACTTACCCTGGAGTCTGTTCTCACACCTGTGCACAGGTTTGCACACTCAAGTTCTCACGGGCAGGCTCAGGTCTGTCCCGCTGCCCTGGGCACGAGATCTCCCGAGGACCTGGGCCTGTTCTGCTCCCAGGAGCGCCGAGCCTGTTACCGCATGACTCCTGCCATCCAGCTCAGGTTCCTCATGGTTTCAGGCATGCATGGACTGGGGGCTTCCCTGGCCCACGGTGCCCCTCGTGTCTCCTCACATGGGTGTCTGTGGTTCTCTCCTGTGTAAATGTCACGCCCCACCCCTAACACGCATGCGTTCCTGGTGGGCACACGCAGGACCATGCCTCACAGGGCCCACTCCCTGCCTATGCCTCCCTCTTGTGGGGCCGGGGAGGACGGCTGCTCTGTCATGAGAATGTACGGCCCGTGGGTGATTAACGGGCCTTTTTCACTCAGAAGCTGCACATTATGGAACATTAAACACTTTTGTCATAGATGCTGGTGGCCTTCTGCTCACTTGTATCCCTGGCCTGGGCCCCCGCCGCTCTCCTCATTTGTCTCCCAGCTCAGGTGGATACCACCTTTCAGGTCCCCGCTTGCCCGTTGGGAGGGTCGGATTTCCCGCCTGCCTCTTCCCAGGGCCGCCTGCCATCTGTGCTGGCGTCACCTTACCTGCCCCTGAATGACCAGAGTAGGGCCCCACAGATGGGCCACCCCAGTGCTCAGCCCTGCACACAGCTGACCATCAGAGGAGTGTCGCCCGGAGTGGAGCACCAAAACTGGCAGGGTGTGGCCTCAGACTGAAGGGACCTGGCTGCTGAGCCCAGGAGCTCAAGAGCAAACCCTCGGTATGCACGCAAGTTCCTGAGACAGCTCTACTGGAGAGAGGATGGTTGCTCCCACTGGGAGCAATCCAGGCAGCCTTACTGGAGGAGGTGCCATTTGAGCTTGGGAGTTGGGATTCCTTCCTTCCAGAACCACTTATTGGACCTCTGTGTCCAAGTGCAGGTGACTGTCCTCAGCCACACTGAGGAGCCTGGGCAGGCCCCTGGGGCTTAGGGTGTGGGTGTACTAACTACGTAGGGTAGCCTCAAGGGCAGAAGCTCAGAGGCAGCACAGGGGTTGGATCTGGCCACCTTGGATGGGGTCGGAAATGAGGTTGGGAAGGGTAAGTCCAGTGGTGGGGGGTTGGGAGCACAGGGGAGCTTCAGCTGTGCCCTGGAGGCTGTGGGAGCCTCTGGGGATGCGGGAGCAGGGTTGTGGGAGTTGACGCAGAGAGGGCTGAGGCCGAAGCGGGGCAGGGGCAGTGGAGGAGAGAGGAGCAGACAGGAAGGAGGGGCTCTGTGGCCTCCAGGGATGGGTCTGGATCTCCATGTGTGACAAGAAAAATGCTTAAGAAGGGGTCAGGGCTGGGGATTTGGGGCGGTGGGTGGAGAAGGGAATGGAGAAGCTGAGAGAGGGGATTGGGGTGTGGATTTGGGGGCCACGGCTCCATCTTTAGTGGGAGGAGACAAGGAGTGGGTGTAGAGGAGAGGTGGTGAAGTTCTCAGAGACTGGACCACGCAGGATGACGGTGCCTGGGTATGGAGGCCAGGGTGGACGGTGGGCCCAGGCTGTCCCGGGAACCCAGAGAGGCTTTCCCAGGATGGAGTACAGGCTGCACAGGGCACTGTAGTTTGGTTGAAAACCAAAGCTCTGGTCAGCCAGGTGACCCTGGCAACTCGGATGACCTCTCTGGGCCCAGGGCCCCACCCCGTGAAGTGGAGGCCAGGATGGTAGAGTGAGCGTGGAGGTATGGATTGGCCACGGCTCGGTAAGCACGTGTGGCTGGGGCTGAGCCATTGCTTGGGAAACAGCTCTTCCCACTCTCTCCACGACAGGGTGTCTTTAACAAGGTGCAGATTGGACCTTGAGGCCTGCCAGTCTGTCACCACTGGGGTAGGGGCTGGAGAGTTGGACCCTGAGTGGCAAAGGCAGTGCCGTGGGGGAAGGGCAGCCTCCCTGCATGGGAGTCAGTGGCAATGCCCCTTCCCACTCCAGGCCTTGCCAGATGTTGATCCTCCCATCCCCCCAGCCTCGTCCTCTCTACCTCAGGCGGTGGCAGTGGGCTTTCAATTTACCCTTAGCTGTGCTCCTCTGCTCATCTGACACCTGCCTGGGCTGCTCTCCCTGCCTGAGTCTTCCTGAACTTTGAAGCCCGGCTGAGATACTACCTCCATGAAGCCCACCACCAGGTCCTCCCAGCCCTGGGGACTTCTCCTGGGCCATGCCATGTTCTGCCTTGTGGCAGGACGAGGGCATCTGTGTGGCTGTCTCTCAACATCTGTGGCTCCCTGGGCATGGAAACTGGGCTGTGCGCATTTGGGTACATGAACCTCCCCCTGCCCCACAGTGAGCCTGGCCCAGTGCTTGGCCTGGGGACATGCAGGGGCCCTGTGACTTGGCTGCCTTTGCCTGTTACCCTTTCTATGAGGTGGAGAAGCCCACTCATCCTGTAATCGTTGCCAAGTCATATTTTAGTCCCCATTTTAGAAATGATGAAAGTAACTTGCCTAGAGTCACACAGCCAGTGAGTGGCCCAGTTGGGATTTTTTTTTTTTTCTTTCTGAGATGGAGTTTTACTCTTGTTGCCCAGGCTGGAGTGCAGTGGTGACATCTCGGCTCACTGCAACCTCCGCCTCCCTGGTTCAAGTGGTTCTCCTGCCTCAGCCTCCCTCCTAGCTGGGATTACAGGCGCCTGCCACAATGCCTGGCTAATTTTTGTAGTTTTGGTAGAGACGGGGTTTCACCATGTTGGCTAGGCTCATCTTAAACTCCCGACCTCAAGTGATCTGCCTGCCTCAGCCTCCCAAAGTGCTGGGATTACAGGCGTGAGCCACCGCGCCCAGCCCCCAGTCAGGATTTGAACCTGGTCTGTGGAGCACAGAGCCTGGGATCATCACTAAGGCTGGCATCATCACCATTCTGAGAATATGGCCTGTGAAGGGGCCTGGCTGGGGGCTGGCCCATGAGAGGGTGATTCAAAGGGTTGGTTTTCCTTTCCTCTCCCCAAGCTGTCCTCATGCAGGGTTGAGCTCAGCAGGGCCAGTTTACTTCGCCAGCCACCTGGTACTTTGTTGTGTTGAATTAACATTGATTGAGTTATTGTCTGCCAAGCACTGTTCTAGGCACTGGGGATTAGGGACTCAGTGATCAAAAAAGAAACCCTGCCCTGATATTCTCATGAGGAGGACTGACAATAAGTAAATTAAACATACAGAATGTTGGAAGATGAAAAGCATGATGGAGAAAACAGTGAAGAAGTGGCTTGGGAGGGACAGGCCTGGGGGCTGGGAAGGAGGCGGCGAGGGGTTACAGTGTTAACAACGTGGTCAGGGAAGGCCTCACAGAGATGGTGACCTTTGTGTAAAAACCAGAAGGGAGTGGGGGAGTGAGACGTGCAGGTCTCTAGGGAGGGGCCCAGGTGGGAACAGCAAGTGCCAAGGTCCTGTGGCGGCCGCATGCCTGGGCCAGCTGGGATCCCAGGAGTCTGGAGTGGAGTAGCAGGAGATGGGGTGGGAGTAACTTGGGGGCCAGCTCACACAGGGCCTTGTGGGCTGCTGTGTGCTTTTTGGCTTTTGTTCCGAAGAAAATGGGAGCCAGTGCAGGCCTTGAGTGGAGGAGGGAGGAGGTGTGAGTGAGCTTGTGCGAGACATGATGGAGGTGGTGGCTGGAGAAGGCCCTCTGTCTGTCCACTGGCTGGATGCTGGGAGAGAGGCAGTTCCAGAGACTGTGGAGTGAAGTCAGGTATGGGCTGGGGCACAGCTGGACAGGTGCCCTCAGGGGACCTCCTGTGAACCCGAAGAGGACCAGAGACCTGGGTTCCACCAGCTCTGCGGCTGAGTTGCTGGATTGTTTTTGTTCATTCTGTACCTTTGTGCCTTATGTCCTCAGCTATAAACTGGGAATGACAGTCCTAGTGCTGTTGTGAAGACCACAGGAACTGAGCAAACAACTGTGGAAGCCCCAAAGGTTAAGAGGTTATCACGGAGGGCTTCCTGGAGAAGGGAACCCTTAAGCTTTGAAGTCCAGATAGAATTCAGCCTAGCGGAGGGAATGTGGGTGAGACTGGTGGAAGATGGGAGAGCATCCCGGAGGAAACTGGTGAGCAAAAGCTGGGGGCTGGATGAAGCAGGACACCAAAGTAATGGGTGTTGAATGGGCCAAGCTGACAGCTCTCTGCAGGAGTGGACGGTGCTGGAGGACCCTCTCTTCCACCAGGCACGGAGGGTTTGCTGTGACTTCCTCCCACCGCAGCAGCTGGCAGAGCCGGGGCTGCCCCTTCTGCTGGTGCCTCCTTTCAGCCGCGTCTGTCTGGGGTTCCCTTCGTCTGGCCCCGCCCCTCGGGCTGAGCGGGGCGGGGCCAGGCGGTCCCGGAGGCTGCGGCAGGCCGGACAGCGGGAGCAGGTGGAGGGCTGGCGGCGGTCGAGATCGTGCTGCCATGGCTCAGCCTCTGGGTCCAGAGCCTCAGCTCCTACCTCTTCCCTCCTTGCCAGCCCCTGATGTCTGCCAGACTTTTGCCTCTGCCGGAGCCCCTGCCTGACCAGCTTCCCCTCCCTGTCTGGTTGGGATTTGGGGGCTGAGCTGTCTGGGGTCCCAGGGCCAACCAATGCAGTGCCGGCTCCCGCGGGGCCTGGCTGGAGCCCTCCTCACCCTCCTGTGCATGGGGCTCCTGTGTCTGCGGTACCACTTGAACCTGTCCCCGCAGCGGGTGCAGGAGACCCCCGAGCTGAGCCAGCCGAGCCCGGGGCCCCCTGAGCTGCAGCTACACGATGTCTTCATCGCAGTGAAGACGACCCGGGCCTTCCACCGCTTGCGCCTGGAGCTGCTGCTTGACACGTGGGTTTCCAGGACCAGGGAACAGGTGACAAGTGGGTGACATTGGGCCCTGGGACTGTCCCCTGGCCTAAGGGGTTCTCAGAGGCCTTTCTACTGGGCTGGGGTCCCTGACTGCCTCATGGGAGAAGCTGCCGGCTACCTGCCTAATCTGGGACCCTCTTCCCCTCTCCTTATTCCCGGCTTCAGGGGCTGCCTGTGGTCCTGCCTGTGCCCTGTACTGGTCCTGACTCCAGGTCCATCCAGGTCCCACCACTCCACCACTTTTGGGGGCCAGGCTGGGCCCCTGCTCCAGGCTCCCGGGTCCTTCCTGGGGGTCCTTCTCTTCCTAGCTGCTCCCGTGAGGGCTTCACCCCCAGCCACCCAGACCCAGCCTGGCATCGGGGGTAATGGTGGATGTTGGGCAGCTGGGGTGGAGGCTTCCAAGAGGTCCTGACCCTGACCTGTGCCCAGGCCAGGCTGTTCCACCCAGGCCTTAGGTGCTGTCCTGCCCAGGCTCTGAGGGTGGGGGACTGGGGGAGAATCTCTAGGTGGGGTCTGTTCTTGGAGGAGGCATCCCTTCAGGCTTCCCGACAGCCCCTCCTGCTGTGCCTCTGCTGCCCTGGGTGTGCCGAGGCTGCCATGTCTGGTCTCCTGCGCTGGCTTCCTGTGGGCTGCTTCCGAGGCAGGGAAGGAGAGCGCATGCCACAAGGGTGGTGCCTGAGGCAGTGGTGGGCAGTAGGTCGGGGAGGCCTTAGTGAGGCAGTAGGTGGGATTGTGTGTGTGTGTACGCGTGCTCACACGCACGGAGCTGGAGTGTGCTAGATGTGCGTGACAAGAGGCGTGTCTGTCACATGGCTGCATGGCTCTGGCAAGCCAAGTCCCTTCCAGCCTTTCCCCTCCTCGCATCCAGTATCTTCCTTAAGCAAAGTCAGTGATGTCGGGTGTTAGGGACCGTTGATGGGGGAGGTGGAAAACGGGTATGCGCACACACACACACACACACACACATCCGTCCCCTCTTTGGCGGCTGGCTCAGTGGGAGGAAGTGACTGAGTCTTTGGAGATAGTTGAGGCCTCCTGGAAGACCAAAAGGAGGGGGAGAGGATGGCTGGCAGAGGCCAGGCCCTCCCGGGGAGGGGCACCCTGCCCTGATTTCTGCCCTTATACTCAGGATTAACTCTTCCCCAGCTGGCCCCCAGCACCCCAGCTCTTCTCTGGCCCCACACGGCTTCTCATCTTGGGGAGATCCTGGTTCTTCCTGCGGAAGCCGCCAAGGCGGGCCCTCCCGCAGGCCTTCCTGTTTATGCGTCTGTGTACCCGGGAGCGTGGCCTCACGTGGCCCACGGCCCTTTCCTGTCTTGTCTCCATCACTGCGGTGCTGCCCTTGCCCCGGATGAGGAAACTGAGGCCAGAGAGGAGGAAGTGCTGGCTGGCGTGGTGTCACGCAGAAGGCCTGAGGGGGCAGTGCCCAGTGGGACCTAGAACCTTGCTCCTGGCTGGGTGCTTTTCTTCCCTGCTGAGACTTGGGAGCCCTGTGAGGCCTGGGTCACTGGGCTACAGGAGAGGGTCCTTGGCCTTCAGCCTGGGCGGCTGTGCCTGGCAGTACCAGGCCAGGAGAGGCAGGCAAGAACATCCCCTTCCCTGTCCCAAGCTCGATCCCACATGCGAATCAGGCGGTGGGGTGGGAGTGGGGGTGCTGGCAGCTCTGCCGCCGCTCAGGGCTGTAGATCAGGCGAGTTGCTTGTTTCCCCCTTACAGTAAGCCCCAGAGATCGGCTGTGATGACCGTGATGTTCCCGCCTTACAGTGCAAACACTGAGCAGGGTTCGGCCGAGGTGGGAGATGAATCCACTCAGCTGGACCCAAGGGGCGAGGGGCAGACTCTAGAAATCTTGTCCTTGAAGTTGAAAGAAGGAAGGATGCTGAGATAGAGGAGGAGGTGGGAGGACAGGGAGGCCCTCACTCGCTACCCCACATCTCTCACCCTTTGGCTCACTTCTGTCTGTGACCTCGGCCAAGGCCCTCCCCTTTCAGCCTGCAGTTTCCCCGTCTGCACAGGGCAGGAGTGTCTGGACCGGGCCTGAGCTGGTTAACTGCAGCGCTGGGCGCCTGCCTGGCTGGTTAAGGGCGGTCGGGTGGCAGGTGGGCCTTGTGGCAGGGGCCGGGACTCGTGTGCTGGCCTTTGTCCTGGGCCGAGGGGTGGGCTGGGGGAGGCGGGTTTTGTGCTCAAGGGGAGCCTTTCTCCTCCCTATGGTCCCCTCGTTGGGGGGAGATGTGGCAGCAGCCCCACACCTCCCCTCGTCTGCAGCAGATGGTCCCCGGCCACCCCTCCCCTGCCCTAGCAGCCTGCGTATCCCTTTGTTTCCCGCGGCTGCCTGTGAAGTTTTCCCCATTGTCAGGTCTCCTCCTTAAACAAGTCAAATACAGCCCTTGGCTCCGAGGAAACTCTGCCCATTGCTCTGTGCCAACCTTAGGATTCCCAGGGACTGAAAGCACCAGCCTCACTGCCCTCTCCCGTGCCCCCGCCCCCTCTGGACCTGGACTCGCCTTCCCGCCTCCCTCCCTTACTCTGCTCAAGGCTGCTGTGTTTTGTTTAGTTTTGTTTTGGTTTTTGTTTTTTTTGAGGAGTCTCACTCTGTTGCCCAGGCTGGAGTGCAGTGGCGTGATCCCGGCTCACTGCAACCTCCTTCTCCTGGTTTCAATCAATCCTCAGCTTCCTGAATAGCTGGGACTACAAGCATGTGTACCACGCCTGGCTAATTTTTCTATTTTTAGTAGAGATGGGGTGTTGCCATGTTGGCCAGGCTGGTCTTGAACTCCTGGCCTCAGGTGATCCGCTCGCCTTGGCCTCCCAAAGTGCCTATTCTGCTTTATTCGGGTTACTAGATCTTCACCCAGAAACGGTCCTCGGCCCATTTGGCCCATGCTCCGAGCTTGAGAGTGCTTCGCTATCTGGTGGCCGTTTGGTGGCAAAAGTTTGCCGAGGGCAGGGCAGGAAAGGCCTGGCTTCTTTTATAGGATCCCTTGAGGCTGTGTTGAAAACAGTCTTGGGGTGGGAGCAGAACAGAGCAGGGAGGCCAGGGAGGAGGGCCTGCGGCAAAGCAGGCAGCAGGTGACGACAGTGGCCAGTGGAGGGGACCCGGGCGGGTGGCTGGGGCGGGCTGGAGGGAAGAGCAGCGTCCCAGACTATTTGGAGGCTGGTGAGCCGAATTGATGATAAGCTTGGGGGGAAGTGTGAGAGGAAGAGAGGAGGAGCAGAGAGTCTGAGGTTTTGGGTTCCAACCAGTGAGAGGGAGGAGCAGGTCTTGGGGAGCACGGGGGCTCAGTCTTGATGCGTTCAGCCCCCAGGAGACGTTGTGGTTTCAGGGGATTTGACAGTTTGGAGCTCAGGGAGAGGCTAGGGCTGGTGGTGTCCACGAGTCTCCAGCTCCCTGATGGTGTTTAAAGCTGAGAGGCTGCATGGCGTCACTGACGGAGTGGGCTTCATGGAGAAGCGGACGAAGGTCTAGGCTGGGACCACCAACATTTCCCCCTGCGGAAATCCGGAGACCTCCAGCATTTGCTAAATCTGATGGTGGGAGACAGACCCCAGGGAGAGAGGCTTAGAGGGTGGACGCTGCCCAGGCCTTCCCGAGGAGAGCCAGGTGCCGGAACAAGGAGACAAATTGGACCCAGCCTGTGGCCTCCAGGATGCCATTGTTTGGTGGAAGAGACGGAGAGATAAATTTCTGTAACCAGGGAGTTTTGCTAACTGCTGTTAGTGACAGGAGGAACAGAGGGCTGAGGAAAACATAGCAGGGGCCCCTAAAGTAGCTGCAGGGGTGTCAGGGAAGGCTTCCCGGGGGAGGTGATGCCTGAGCTGGGAGCTAGAGGGTAGAAAGAGGGCACAGCATGTGCAGAGGATCAGAGGTGTGGGCCCGTGCGTGCGTGTGTGTGAGACAGAGAGAGAGAGAGAGAGAGAGAGAGAGAGAGAGAGAGAGAGAGAGAGAGACCGAGAGAGAGAGAAGCCCCAAGAGTGGGCAGGAAGTAATGAGATCAGACTACATCAGGCAGGCTGGCCAGGTGGTCCCTCACTGGCCACAGGGAGGCTGGCCTTTATCCCAAGGGTGGTAGGGAGCCATGGAAGGTGTTAGTGGCTGGTGGTGGAGGTGGATGTTATCCGATTCTGATCCTGGCAGGAAAACATATCTGAGGGATAGAGGCAGAGTCTTGCAATAGTCCAGTGAGAGGTGATAGTGGTTCAGAAGCAGGGCTGTGGCCATGGGCCTTGGGAGACAGCCTGGCTCCCTCCTGCCCCTTCCTGTGTCAAACCTGGCTCCTGGCCTCCTGGCCTCCTATGCCTCAGTTTCCCCTGAAATACAAGTAGGTGAGCCTGACTTCACTGTCAACTCTTCCTTGCTCTTTTACACACAATCTTGTTTTATTCTCACAGCCACTACTCACAGCCATCTACCCCTTTTGTAGATGGGTAAACTGAGGCTCAAGGCGGGGACTGTTCTGATCTGAAGGGCTAATTCCTGGAAAGGAGGGAGGGGATTGTGGGTAAGCAGAGGGGAGCATTGCAATTGGAGGCCCTGAGCTTCGAGGGAGGACAGGGCTAAGCCACGAGTGTGGCCCCAGTTGGGGCTGAGAGAGTCTGGGGGCTTTAAAGAGGTGGGGCACTTGGAAAGGGTCCAGAATTGTCCTGAGTCCTGGGCCGGGCAGTCCCAGGGCTGGGGAGGCCCTCGAAGGCCCTTGAGGTGCTCACTGAGTGAGAGGACCCACTTGGGCAGCTGAGAAGCTCTGCCTATGTTGGGCCGGGCGTGAAATGGGAAGGACACCAGTCCCCAGCCTGGCTCGTCTTTGTCCCCAGCCTGGCTTGTCTTTGTCGCATCCATGTGCTTCCTCTACCTCTCATTCAGAGTTTGGGTTTGGATTATGTAGGAGCTGAGCAGCTTTCGCTGCCTGGGAGGCGGCGGGGAGAGGTCCGTGGGTTCGAATGTCAGCCTGGCACTTGCCAACCCTGGTCCATCGCTCAGCCTCCTTTTCGTCGTCTGGGAAGAGAACAGATGAAAACACCTGCCTTGTGAGATTTGAGGGTCGCTGGGGGCAGGTGTATGTCCGATCTGGGAGAGCTGGACTGGGCTGTGAGGCGGCATTTCCGAGATGGCTTTCACAGGGGGTTTGTGTGGCTGTGAAGGTGTGACGTCTCCCTAGTGGCGCGGTGTCCCAGGGCGTGGGTGTGGGTCTGTTCACATACAGTTTGTGTCCTGATAATGGGTTTAAGGTTGTGTTACGTGACTGTGGAGGAGCCGAGTGCAGCTGTGTGTGTGTGTGCGTGTGTGTGTGCGTGTGTGTGCGCGTGTGTGTGCGTGCGTGCATGTGTGTGTGCGTGTGTGTGTGCGTGTGTGTGCGCGCGTGCGTGTGTGTGCGCGTGTGTGTGCGTGTGTGTGTGTGTGCGCGCACGTGTGTGTGTGTGTGTGTGTGAGAGATAGAAAAGGGTGAGATGCTGCCCAGGTGTGTGGTTGTGGTTGGGTCCCTGTGGCTGCTCTGGAAAGGGGGCGAGGGTATGTGTTGTTTAGACTGTGGGCTGTGTACACCCTGAAGTTGTGTGTCTACAAAGGCTGAGTTGTATGTGTTGTATGTTGTCCTGAAGCAGCGTGTGACCATGAGAGGGGTGTGTGTGTCACTGAAGGAGTACAGAGTCCATCTGGGGCCTGGTGTTGGTGGGTTGTGGATTGGTCTGGGGTGTCGCTTGGGCCGACGTGAGTCCTGACCCCTTCTTTTCCTTCCTAGACATTCGTCTTCACCGACAGCCCAGACAAAGGCCTCCAGGAGAGACTGGGTAACTCTGCCTTGCCTGGGTGGGGGTCTTTAACTGTTGCCCAGGAAAGCTGGGGTGGCTGTGTCCTGGCCTGATGATTTCCAGGAAATGGGCTGCCCACCCTTGGCATGTGGGGATCCCCCTTTGCCCAGGAGGGAAGTGGGCCTCTTCCCTAGAAACTGGTGTGGGCATGGGTAGGGGAGAAGCTGTGCTGGACAAGGCCCTGGACACCTGAGTCCCAGTCCAGCCTGCTGTCCACTAGCTCTGTGGTCCTGGGCAGGTCTGCCTTCCCGGGGCCTCAGTGTTACCATGTGTAAAATGGGAGTGGGTGGGCCGCTCCAGGCTCCCTGTAGTCCAGCCTTGCTCTGTATTCTGTGTTCAGGGCTGCAAAGCGGGGAGCTGGACAGGGTCCCCTGACTCCCCCTCACTTCTCCAGGGTCCCACCTTGTGGTCACCAACTGCTCCGCGGAACACAGCCACCCAGCTCTGTCCTGCAAGATGGCTGCTGAGTTCGACACCTTCTTGGCCAGTGGGCTTAGGCGAGTGTTCCTGGGTCTCTGGGGATAGGTGTGATCTGGGCTCAGTGAAAATAACCCGTGGGCCTCCTGGGGTCTGACTTCAGCCCCCACTCCCCTAGCAGGCAGTGGGCAGATGAAGTCCAGCTGGGTTCCAGTCCTGCCATTCAGGATTGGATATGTGACCTTGGGAAAATGACTTTTTTTTTTTTTGAGATAGTTTCACTCTTATCGCCCAGGCTGGAGTGCAATGGTGCGGTCTCAGCTCTTTTAAACCTCCGCCTCCTGGATTCAAGTGATTTTCCTGCCAGCTGGGATGACAGATGCCCACCATCACGCCTGGCTAACTTTTGGAATTTTAGTAGAGATGGGGTTTCACCATGTTGGCCAGGCTGGTCTCGAACTCCTGACCTCAGGTGATTCACCCGCCTCGGCCTCCTAAAGTGCTGGGCTTACAGGCGTGAGCCACCACACCTGGTCAGGGCGAGTGTCTTGACCTCTTAGTCTTGGTCCTCAACTGTGAAGTGGGTACCCTCCTCACGAGCTTACACAATATGCAACTTGGCACAAAACAGATGCCTTAAATGTCAGCCTCCCCCACCCCACCCCCATTCTGTCACTGTTGACTGACTGTGGGGGTGCTTGGGGACCCTGGCTTGGAACACCCCCCACCAACAAGTTCACTGTCCCCGTTTCATCCCCACAGGTGGTTCTGCCACGTGGATGATGACAACTATGTGAACCCAAGAGCGCTGCTGCAGCTGCTGAGAGCCTTCCCACTGGACAGCGACGTCTACGTGGGAAGGCCCAGCCTGAACCGGCCCATCCACGCCTCAGAGCCACAGCCCCACAACCGCACGGTGGGTCCCTCTCCTCCTCCTTTGCCTCTTGGCCCATTGGTCCCAGGGCTGGGCCAGTCCCAGGGGTGGGGGTGTGCTAGAGAGGTGAGAGGGGTTCTGGGTTGTGGGTTTGGCCCCATGTGGGTTTGGCACCTGTAGTCCCAACTTCTTGGGAGGCTGAGAGACAGAATCGCTTGAACCTGGGAAGCAGAGGTTGCAGCGAGCTGAGATGGCGACATTGCACTCCAACCTGGGTGGCAGAGCAAGACTCCATCTCAAAAAAAAAAAAAAAAAAATTGCTGGAATACTGTGGGGCTGGGTGATCAATTGCTGCTGCCTGAGCCCCAGATCCCTTCCCCCACTTCCCCTCCTTGGGCACCCTCTCTCTCCAGACACCTCCACTAGCCTGTGACTGAAGAGTTGACACTTGGCACAACAGGGGGCTCCATACCCACCTCAGTTCCTGACCTGGATGGTGCTGATTCGGGTTGCCAGATTCATTAAACAAATAAATGAAAAACCACTACATCCAGTTAAACTTGACTTTCAAATAAATAATGAGGAATTTTTTAGTATAAGTATGTCCCAAATATTGCATGGTTCTTTCCCTGTCCCCAGGACCCACTGGATATCAGGTGTTAGAGTGGTCCAGGCCCTAGGGCTCCCTTGGCCCAAGGAAAAAGGCGGGTCGGGAGGTCCCTCTCTAGAGGCAGTGCCTGGTGCAGGAGCTGGGCACACAGCGGGGCTCAACCTCCCTTCTCAGGTCACCATCTGCTTCATTAGGAAAAAAACAAGAGCAGAAAACACAAAACCTTAATTATCAGTAGCTAATCAGCCTCTGAGCCTTAATTAAATTATTCTGGGCCCTGGGGCTCTGTGTGTGAGTGATTCCAGGGGAGCCTGGCCATACCACTTCATTACTGGCCACTCACCTCTGCCTAAGCCATTTGCCTCTGGGGTGGAGAACTGCGCGCTGGAGCCTGACTCCCTGGGTTTACACAGCAGCCCTGCCACCTCCTGGCTTTGTGACTTTGATGAAGTCACCTCACCTCTCTGTGCCTCAGTTTCCTAATCTGTGAAATGGGTAATAATAGCCCCTACTCAAAGTGTGGTTGTGAACACAGAAGAAAGAATGAAATGAGGTCATCTGTCCAAGTCCTTGGAATGAGACCTGGCACAAAGTCAACACTAGAAAGTGTTAGTGATCTGAGGCCAGGCGCGGTGGCTCATGTCTGCAATCCCAGCACTTTGGGAGGCCAAGGCGGATGAATCACCTGAGGTCAGGAGTTTGAGACCAGCCTGGCCAGCCAACATATAGTGAAACCCCATCTCTACTAAAAAATACAAAAGTTAGTTGGGCGTAGTGACGCACGCCTGTAGTCCCAGCTACTTGGGAAGCAGAGGCAGGAGAATTGCTTGAACCTGGGAGACGGAGGCTGCAGTGAGCCGAGATCGCAACACTGCACTTACACTTGAGCCTGGGCAACAGAGCAAGACTCTGTCTCTGAAAAAAAAAAAGAAAGAAAGTGTTAGTGATCCGTATTGGACATAGCCTGACCTTCGTTTCCCAGCCACATCTTTCCTCTGTACACTCAGGCCCCGTCAACCTAGGCCCACCTCTGTGGCCCAGGAGAGCAGGTGCGGTATTTGGCAGCCCCTCCCAAGCCACATGCAGTGAGGTAGAGACCTTTCTCAGGGGAAAGGGGCACAGTGGCCTTTTAGTAGAGACAGGGTTTCACCATGTTGGCCAGGCTGGTCTCGAACTCCTGACCTCAAGTGATTCACCCACCTCAGCCTACCAAAGAAAGTGCTGGGATTACAGGCTTGAGCCACCTAAACAGAGTCTTGCAGGATGGGCTGGAGTCAGCCAATGCTGAGGGGAGAGAGGAACAGAGTCCCAGGCAAGGACTTCAACTGACTGCACACACCCCATTAATGGTGCTGCCCTGGATGCCTGGCCAAGGGGCAAGTGGGTAAACCAGTACTCGTCCCCTTTAACTGGAATCCAGCTGGACTTGAGTCTGATCAGTGACCTCATCACTCCTAATTAACTATGTGACTTTGGGCCTCTGTTTTCTTATCTATAGAATGGGCACAGTAGTGCCAGACTGTAGCAAGATTCTAGTGAGATTCAAAATAAAGAGCTTTTGAGCCATGCTGGTTGGGGGTGAAGGGTGGCCTGGCTGTCCCTTTCCCCCACAAATCCCACCAGGCTCACTCTGCCCCTTGGCCTCCTCTCCCTCAGAGGCTGGTACAGTTCTGGTTCGCCACCGGGGGTGCTGGCTTCTGCATCAATCGCAAACTGGCTTTGAAGATGGCTCCGTGGGCCAGGTAAGCAGAGACCCCGAGGCGGGCAGGAAGGCAGGGAGGGGGTGGCGGCTGGGGTACAGGAGGGGCCTTGGCAGCAGGAAGGGCTTTGAGAGTGAGCTCAGGAGAAGCTGCTCCTCATTCATGTGTGTCACAGTGCGGCAGTCAGTGGTGGGCAAACCACCTGCCACCTGCCCTTGGGGCTGCGCGGCCGAGTGGATGACTTGCCACACACAGGTGAGTCATATCATCTCCAAGAGCCCCAGTCCCTCCGTCTGTCCATGGGCCTGATAATACAATGGCCAGTGGTGTGGTAAGGGTTCAATGAGAAAATGTCTGGGCTGGCCCTGGTAGGTGCTATTTGCTGCCCTTTTCTGACCGGTCAGCGCCGTAGGGGAGGCGAAGGCCGAATGTAAGGGCCTTCAGAGGAGGGAGAAGGGCCTTCTGGTTGAGGGCAGAAGGGAAGACTTCCAGGAAGAGGTGGTATTTGAGCTGGGTCAGCCTCATGTACACTACACTGGGCCATCTAAGGGAGATGATGTTACTCCTAATATCACAGTGGGTGTACACCCTGTGATATTACTCATCATACCATCGAAGGGAGATGATATCACTCCTAATATCATGAGGGGATCTCGGGGGTAGTGGAGGCCGCAGTGTGGGTGGGGGTGGGACACTGGTATTCCAGAAGTGGCAAGGCCTGGCCTCCGGAGGTCTGTCCGGGCTGTTGTTATTATTAACAGCACCATCAGCAGCCACTCTCTTGTATTGAGGCTGACTCTGAGCCAGCTCTGTGCTCCATCAACAGGATCACAACGCCTCAGGGAGAAGGTGGCCTTAGCCTTGTGTTTCTAGATCTCAGGCGACTGAGGCGCTGAGATGAAGCCAGTCTGAGGTCAGCCAGGTTCAAGGTCACTCAGCTGCTGGGTTTGGCTCCAAGGTCTGCAAGCCTTGCTACTACCCAAGCCTGCCCTGCCTTGCCTGGCTGGGAGGGGCCCCCCAGGACACGAACGGGCTCATTGTCCTGGGGCCTGTCCACAGAGCTGTGTGTGTACACATGACCAGGGTCATCCCTGTGCCTGGGATGCCCCCACCCAGGCTTCTGCCAACCTCTAAATTACCTTTGTGTGAATTAGAAAAAGCCCACTGCCTCCAAATCCTGCAGGTGCAGCTTGAGGGCTCGCAGGCTGGGGAGGGGAGTGCAGGCTGGGGAGGGGAGTACAGGCTGGATTTCTGCACCCATTTGCTCCTTGGCCAAGCATCCAGGGCGGCAGCATAAATGGGGTGTGTGCGGCCAGTTGAAGTCCTTGCCTGGGACTCTGTTCCTCTCTTCCCTCAGCACTGGCTGACTCCAGCCCATCCTGCAAGACTGCTTAGGTGACTCATGCCTGTAATCCCAGCACTTTGGGAGGTTGAGGTGGGTGAATCACTTGAGGTCAGGAGTTTGAGACCAGCCTGGCCAACATGGTGAAACCCCGTCTCTACTAAAAATACAAAAATTAGCCGGGTGTGGCGGCGGGCTCAGGAGGCTGAGGCAGGAGAATTGCTTAAACCCGGGAGGTGGAAGTTGCAGTGAGCCGAGATTGCACCACTGCACTCCAGCTGGGCAATGAAGGGAGACTCTGTCTCAAAAACAAACAAACAAACAAACAAACAAACAAACAAACACACAAAAAAGCTACCACCTCCTCTGGGAAGCCTGCCTGATTCTTCCTATACCTCCAGGCAGCGTGCTTCCCTCTGACTTAGCACCATTCTTTGAAAGACCTGCTCCCTGCTCTGTCTCCCTCCAGAATAGGGACTGCTGTTGGGGGCAGGAAGCGTTTCTTTCTCGTCTCTGTATCCTCAGCCCTAGCGTAGTATCTGGCATCAGCAATGAATAAATGAGTGAATGAATGAATAACAAGACAGGGAGAGAAGGAAAGGCTACATTTATAAAGGGCCTCACCTTCCCATTCCCTGTTTAATTCTCACAACAGCCCCGTGAAGACAGGGCCATTAGCATCCCCATTTCATAGAACAGGAGACTGAGGCTGAGGCTCCCCAAGGTTCCCAACTTGCTCAAGGTCATACAGTAAGCAGGAGGCAGGTGCTCTGCTCTGCTCTGCCAGCTTGTCCCAGGGGAGGGCCTTCATAGGGTAGCCCACGGCTTTGGGTGTGGAGGGCCTGGGCCGGTGTCTACAGTCTGGCTCTGTCCCTCAGCGGCTCCCGTTTCATGGACACATCTGCTCTCATCCGGCTGCCTGATGACTGCACCATGGGCTATATCATTGAGTGCAAGCTGGGCGGCCGCCTGCAGCCCAGCCCCCTCTTCCACTCCCACCTGGAGACCCTGCAGCTGCTGAGGACTGCGCAGCTCCCAGAACAGGTGAGCTGGCCTTGGAGCAGGTGGCAAATGGGAAGGGGGAACCAAAGGAACGTGAGGTCTCCCCAACCCTCCCTCCTGGTGTGTGAAAGAAACCTGGAACTCCAGATTATGGGGCTTGGCTGTTTCCTACTGATGGGGAAACTGAGGCCTAGGGTGGCAAAGGACCCCCTAAGGGTACACAGGGACTCAACCCCTTCACCTCTAACCCTCAAGGATTAGCATTTGTGAAGCTGAAATTCTTTGATCTGGTCCTCAAATGCCAGCCGGAAGGACCTGAACAGATGAGATGAGGCTGTCTCCAGGTTCCCAACACCCTGCTCCCCACCGCTGCCTCTACTCAGTCTTCCATCCTCCCCACATTCCTCCCAGGGAGCCCAGCTGGCCCTTTCTGATTTTCCCCGTTGGGAGCCCCCTCCTTCATCAAAACTCCCCTATCCATTGCTCAGTGCTGTTCCTGCCAACCCTGAGGTTACCGGGATGGAGTGGGTCTTCGGGGGGATGCTCAGCATTACGTTAGGCTGGGGGAGAAGGGGGACCCCATCCCACCACCTGGCAGGTAATGCAGGTCCAACTGGCTCTGCCTTGGAGAGGCTGCCCTCTGACGCTGTAGATGGTCCTGGCTGGGAGTGTCCCCGGAATCTCCTGCCTAACAGTGTGACAGAAACTCAACATAGACTGGCTAACCTGAAAAGGAAATGGTTGGCTCACATAACTGAGAAGCTGAGGGCCTGGCTGGCTAGGTCCGGCGGGGTCTAGGCATGCAGATGGCCTCCCAGACTCTCTCCACTCTAGTCCGCTCTCCCCCAAGTTGGCCCGTCCTCAAGCGGGCTCAGCCTTCATGTTGGCAAGATGGCAGCCCCAGCGTTCCCCCACCATCAGAGGAGAGCGCCTCCTTCCTTCAGATCCCAGGGCTGGCATTCATGGGTCTGACGACTTAGCTTGGGTCACGTGACCGATCTCCTACCAGCACCTGGAGTTAGTGTTGATTGGCCAGGCCTGGAACTGGGGTGTGAGGTTGGTCCTATTAAGATGGCAGGGCCTGAAGCCAGGAAAAGGAGGCAGATTTGAGGCAGCCCACACCAGGGCACCCTAATGGTTAGGGTGTCCTGAGTACCCACAATGCCAGGCACCACGCTGGGGGCTTTCCCTTTTTCTTCTTCTTCCTTTTTTTTTTTTGAGATGGAGTCTCACTCTGTTGCCCAGGCTGGAGTGCAATGGCACGATTTTGGCTCACTGCAACTTCCACCTCCCGGGTTCAAGTGATTCTCCTGCCTCAGCCTCCTGAGTAGCTGGGACTACAGGCACCCACCACCATGCCAGGCTATTTTTTGTATTTTTAGTAGAGACAGGGTTTCCATGTTGGCCAGGCTGGTCTCGAACTCCTGACCTCAAGTAATCCACCTGCCTCAGCCTTCCAAAGTTCTGGGATTACAGGCATGAGCCACCGAGCCCAGCCACCCTTCTTTAACTCTCTGTTTCCTCACAGTATTTACATGAGGTCATTACTAACATTATCCCCATTCTATAGATGGGGAAAATGAGACCCAGCGAGCTGAACTGACCACGGCACACAGCTAATATGGGGCAGAGGGGCACTGGAACCCTAGCTGGGTGGTCCCTATGCCCACAGTCTTTAACCACTGTGCTCTGCAGCCTCTGAGCTGAAATCATGATCTATGTCGTCACTGACTGGTGCAGTACAGGCTCCGGGTGAAGAGGGATGTGCCAGGGCCCTCCAGTGAGTCTCAGAAAACCTCCATTCTAGTCCAGGCATGCAGCTTACTGGAAAGGTGCCTTTTCCTGTTGAGCCTCAGTTTCCAAATCTGTAGGTGCGGTATTGTTCCAGCCTCTCAGGGGAGCTCAACTCTCGAGGGGGCAAATGGGATTAAGGGCATGGCAGTGCTTTTCCAGCTGTGAAGTGCCTTGGGGCGTGGGGTGGGCTCCCACCACCAGTGGGGAATTTCAGGTTCCGGGGCAGCTTTCCCTGCAGCTTAAACGCCCTCCTCCACCTGTGCCAGGATGCTGCCCCCTTGTGGGGATCCCCAGTGCGACACCCCAACACTCACTCTTCTATCTCCCTGCCCAGGTCACCCTCAGCTACGGTGTCTTTGAGGGGAAACTCAACGTCATTAAGCTACAGGGCCCCTTCTCCCCGGAGGAGGACCCCTCCAGGTGGGTCTGAGGGCTGGAACCTTGGATGGGAGGAGTAGGGGCTGAGTCCAGGCATCCAAACATGGTAGAGCTGTGAGGGAGCGGAGTTGGACAGGTTTTGGTGGCTGACAGCGCAGAGCTAGGAGTGGACGGAGTGGATTTCAGTTTCTGACCCTGCCACTGACTTGCTGTGTGACCTTGGGCAAGTGTCTTGCCCTCTCTGGGACTCAGTCTCCCATTAGTAACAGCTGGACGCTGGCCATCGTGGATCTGAGGAGCTCTCCCAGCCACAATCCTCTGGGTTCTTCAGGAGTCCCTGGAAGGCTGAAATGCCTTCCCTGAGCACAGGCAATGCTCTCATGGTGGAACTTCAGGTTCTAATGGGGGATTTTTATTTTATCTCTTTTGGACTTATTGTTTCTTTGATACTCTTAAATGCTTCTTTTAGGTAGGTAAAGGGTTGGAATAATGCCTTCCAGTTCTGCCCAGAACTGGCCACGGGAAGACGGGCCACTCAAATCTGCTCCTGACTGGTCTAGAGCAGTCTTGGAACATAGCCTGTGATATGCAGCTTCCTTTCCACACACCAGCACCTGCCAGCCATGGCTGTTTTTTTTTTCCTTTTTCTTTCTTTCTTTTTTTTTTTTTTTTTTTGAGATAGAGTCTCGCTCTGTCGCCCAGGCTGGAGTGCAGTGGCGCGATCTCAACTCACTGCAACCTCCGCCTCCCGGGTTCAAGCGATTCTCCTGCCTCGGCTTCCCGAGTAGCTGGGATTATAGGCACCTACCACCATGCCTGGCTAATTTTTGTGTTTTTAGTGGAGGCGGGGTTTCACCGTGTTGGCCGGGCTGGTTTCTAACTCCTGACCTCAAGTGATCCACCTGCCTCGACCTCCCAAAGTGCTGGGATTACAGGCATGAGCCACTGCCCCCGGCCCAGCTATGGCTTGTGATGCTGGCCAGGGGTGGTGGGATGGGGGTGGAGAGGAGTAGGGGGAGGGGACACATGGACTCTGGGCCCATCAGTCGAACGCCAGAACTGATGCTTGACCCCTCCCAGCATCTCCACCAACTGATGGGCTGGCTTCACCTTGCATGCCTCCAGCCATGGGGAGCTCCTCCCTCCTGTGGCAGTCTGTTCAATCTCTGGGCAGCTGAACTGGCCCCAGCCCTTCTATTTCCATTTCTGCTCCCTGTAGTGACATGCAGTAGGTCTAGAAACTGGGGAAGGAGGCCTGATCCTACCTTTGGGGACTGAGCAGGGACTCAGGGAGGTAATGAGTAGAGGAGGGCATGGGTGAACTCTGGGTTCACTTGAGTGACAGAGACTCATCCAGAGGGAGTCCTGGGGGACGGGGAGTCTGGAAGACTGTGTGTGTAGGGGATGAGGGTGAGTATGCAGGTACAGGCTGTTATGGGAGAGTAAGTCAGAGCCCTGATATTGACTGGGGAGTAGTGGCTGGCCGGGGAAGGCTTCTCTGAGGAGGTAACATGAAGGACCTGAAGGGCTAGCAGGAGTTCGCTAGGAGAAGAGCAGGTGGCAGATCGCTCCCACAGAGGGGACAGCATATGCAAAAACCTGGTGGCAGGAGACAGGCCTTGACCTGCTCAAGGTAGGAAAGGGAGCCTGTGTGACCAGAATGTGGAGAAGAGGAAGGAATGGTGTCAGATTTAGTTGGGGACGTGGCAGGGGGCCTCTCCAAGGCCTTTGTAGGCTCTGTCTGGACGCTTGCGATGCTTGGGGGAACCAGGGCCCCTGGCCTTGACATTCTGCAGTGCTGCCTCTCCCGGGGCAGAGGGCTCCCACGATGCTGAGGGCCCTTGCGGCCAAGGCTGCATTGAACAAGTTGGGTATTACAAGGAGACAGAATTTGGCTCGATATAGGAACAAAAATTCAAAATTCCAAGATGAATGAAGCTGCCTTCTAATAGAATGAGCTCCCGTCAGCAGAAGTGTGTAAGCCATAGTTATACTGACAAGAGGTTTAAGAATTGCTGTTAAATTTCCTCAAAGCCCACAGATTTTAGAAGTCATAGATTACTGTCAAATGGGTCTGGAGCCACTTAGAGATTCAGATGCATATGGTCAGATGATTGGCCTTAGCTGAGGTCTCTTTATGGCTTCTCTGGCTTTTGAAGTTTCTCCAAACCAGCAGTTCTCAAGTGGGGGTGATTTGTCTCCTAGGGGACATCTGGCAATGTTGGAGACATTTTTGATTATTATGATTCGGGAAGATGCTACTGGAATCCTGTGGATAGAGCCCAGGAATGCTGTTAAATATCTCGCAAGGCACAGGACGGCTCCACAACAAAGAATTCTCTGGCCCTAAGTGTTAGTGGTGTTGAGTTAGAGAAACCCTGCTCCAAATCGTCTCTGTGGCATGTGTCCACCTAGGAGAGTGGGCTGAGAGCAGAAGTGGGGGTGACCATCCTGTTCCTTTTCTGGTTTCTCTGCAGGTTTCGCTCCCTCCATTGTCTCCTCTACCCAGATACACCCTGGTGTCCTCAGCTGGGTGCCCGATGAATCCTGAACTGCTGGGCAAAGGTTGGGCAGAGGCTTCTGGGTGTGCCTTGGCTCGCAAGGTGGCACTGAGGGTCCCTGGCAAGTGTCTTGTGATAGGCAGTCCCTGGCAGGGCCTTCGGGTAGTTGGCAAGCCCAGGATCTGGGTGACAATTGGCACTGAAGGCACCCCAGGCCCCTGGGAGGTGAGTTAGACAGCCCAGGGGACCAGGTGGACCAGGTGATGGCCAGAGAAGCTCCAGGGGCTAGACTCCCTCAGGAGGCTGAACTGAAAAAGGGTAGGGGGCACTTAGCTGGCCTGGGGCTCAGGGGTCCTAACCCTTTAGGCAGTGACATGGCCTCTGGGTAGGGTCTGGCCCTTGGCCCTGGCTCATGTCTCTCAGTTATTCCCCTGGGGCTCAAGCACTGGGCCGCCCACTCCTGCCTCCCTCGCCTGGGTCCTGAGTTCCTGAAGGGATATGGAAATGATGGCAGAATCCAGGGTCTGAAGCACCTGCTGTTGTTGCCAACCAGTCTCCCAAAGCTCCTTGCTCCCCACCCCTTGCTAACAGGACCAGATTTGGTTTGGATCCTCAGAATGCTAGGACCCAGATGATGGAGCATAATGGGTCCCAGCCAATCGTGATGATCCTTTTTGCTCATTTCCCAGCCTCCCTTGCTGTTAGGGGTTACCATGGGACCAGCTCTGGCCAGAGGGAACTAAGCAAATCCAATAGAGACATTTCTGGGGAAGGTTTTGCAGCCCACTCCCCATCTTCCTGCTGTGAATGTGGGTGTGATGGCTGGATCTGGGGCAGCCACCTTGCTACCATGAAGGAAAGGCCAAGACAATCATCCCAGCTATTCCCTCCAGCATCTGGTTCTGTACGAAAATTAAATGCTTATTTGTTTAAGTCTCTCTTGGTCCAGTTTTCTGTTACATGCAGCCAAAATGTTCCTGACGAGGGTAGGGTCTTTATCTGTCTATCACAGTGGAGATGGCAGTCACTTTTGGTGGTGTGATATGATGCGTGCAAAGACCATGTTACAGAGCCTGGCACAGAGAAAGGAAGGGCACAGTGGATGGTGACTGTTACTAGTGTGTTTGTGAGTCATAGTGTGTGAGGCAGTGCACAGGTGTGTGTGTGTGTGTGTGTGGCATGTACCTTCTACATGTGTCTGTGCATAAAGATGTACATGTGTTTTTTTTTTTTTTTTTTGACAGAGTCTCACTCTGTTACCAGGCTGGAGTGCAGTGGCACAATCTTGGCTCACTGCAACCTCCACCTCCCGGGTTCAAGCAATTCTCCCAATTCTCCTGCCTCAGCCTCCTGAGTAGCTGGGATTACAGGCACGTGCCACCACGCCCAGCTAATTTCTGTATTTTTAGTAGAGACAGGGTTTCACCATGTTGGCCAGGATGGTCTCAATCTCCTGATCTTGAGATCCGCCCACCTCGGCCTCCCAAAGTGCTGGGATTACAGGCGTGAGCCACCGCGCCCAGCCTGTGGTGTGTGTTTTTGTGGCTGTGTTGCACATGTGTACATGATGTGTACATGTGAGCGTGTGTGCTGTGAGGTGTGGAGTGGTTCCTCCTTTTCTCTGCCCCTGGGTTGGGGGAGGTCAGAGAATCAGGGAAGGCGGAATGGAGACTCCGGGCTGAGGGACTTAGCCTCAGGTATCAGATAATGGTGCCAAAGGGCGATTTGACAGCAAAGGGCAGGAACTGAATAAACACAAGTGCCCTTGGAATGTCAGATCGCAAGGAGGTGGATGGATGAGTGAAAGTGATCATGGTGAAATTTCAGGTATGGCGGCATGTAGGCAGGGAAGGGTTAGAGAGGGGAGGTCTGTATCATGCCCAGTGATGCTAGGAGTTGGAGTCATAGTGGGGCTCTCGGATGGGAAAGGAAGAGGAGGGATCCTGAGGGCCAGAGGGGCCCTGACACAGGGAGCTAGGGCCAGGGGCTCCACCCCTGAAGAATCAGAAACTGTCTTCTGGCTACATCTGTGTTGGGGACATCTGGAACCACTGAGCACCTGAAGCCGGCCCCTTGTTTTCCAGGGAGGAGCGGTCCGGAGAGGGACTGCCACGTGCTGTGGTCACACAGTGAGTTGGGTGCAGCCGGCCTCTTGTGCTTCTCCAAAGCCCCGTTTCTTTCTGGGCTGGCCCAGGGCTGGGTTTATGGGATGCCAGTCAAGTGAGGGCAGCCTCTGGCCCTGCAGCCCGGTGGGGCTGGAATGGTGCCATCCATAGCCGCCGTCCTCCCCACCCCACCCAGGGAAGGCTGCTCGTCGGCCCACATTTAGACGCAGCAGCAGATTTTCGGGTTGCTCCCAGATCCTGAGGGTCGGGTGGAGGGAACGGGACTTGGGCCATCTGCTGCCTCCATTGTCCCAGAATAGCTGGGGGTAGGGAGGGGGAGCAGAGTCAGCAAGGATCAGAATTGGGATGGAGGAAGGAGGGAGTCTGAGTTTAACCCTTTGCGTGTCTGCCTGGGAAGTTAGGAAGCTCCCTGTGCCCTGTGCCTAAGTGACCCATCTGGGCCCCAGAGGGAGGGGCTGAGTGTGGGGTGGGGTAGCAAGGTTAGGTCACCTAGTCTTGGCCTTGCCATGCCCCTTGGGCACATAGTTGCCGCTCAGCGTCCTCGCGTTTAGCCTGAGCCCTGCCTGCCCATTTTAGGGTGCATGTGGATGGGATACTTTGAGGACCATGGGTGGTCACTGATCCTTCGGCTGGTTGGCTGAGGGTAGGCCCCCATGATAACAGGGACAGAGAGTGATGCCAGAACAGGAGCCCTGGCCTGGGGCAGACATTAGAAGGAGCCTGGAGATCTTCTCCAGGGGTCTATGGCTTCCTCATCCAGCCCCTATCCCCAGCAAGGAGTGTGCAGGGGGCCCAAGGTAAACCTCCTCTCTTCCCAGCAACTTTTTTTTTTTTTTTTTGAGACAAAGTCTCACTCTGCCACCGAGGCTGGAGTGCAGTGGTGTGATCTTGGCTTACTGCAACCTCCACCTCCCGGGTTCAAGCGATTCTCGTGCTTCAGCCTCCTGAGTAGCTGGGATTATAAGCATGTGCCACCACGCCTGACTAATTTTTGTATTTTTAGTAGAGATGGGGTTTTGCCAAGTTGGCCAGGCTGGTCTTGAACTCCTGACCTCAAGTGATCTGCCTGCCTTGGCCTCCCAAAGTGCTGGTATTATAGATGTGAGCCACCGCGCCTGGCCCTGGCAACCTCTTAATTGATGCACCTGCACCTGCTGTGAGTGAGGTGGACTCCACCCCGGGAGGCTGGTGAACTAGCATCTCAGCTTTGCCCTTCTGTAAGTATTGATGCCAACAGAACTATAAACGTAAATATCTACCATCAAGGGCATGCTGGTGGTCAGGCACTGTTCTAAGTGCTTGACATAAATTAATTCATTTCATTCCCACCTATTTGAAGTAGGTTCAATCATTATTCCTGTTTTACAGATTGGGAAACTGAGGCACAGAAGGGGAAAAGGTCCTTGGGCCAGGTCACAGGTCTCCTCGGTGCCAGAGCCAAGGTTGGAGGCAGCCTGACTCTGCAGTGGTCATCTCGCTGTGGGACGACTTTGAAGAGTTGGAGAACCTCCTCAGGCCTGGGCTCCACCCTGCTGCCCACCTGTGGCTCTAGGCCCTTAGGCAGGTGGCTTCACTCTTCACTGGCTTCATCTGTAAAATGGGCACAGTGACTCCTATGCAGCAGGATGTGAGGCTTTGAGATGCTGCCTAGAAAGCTCCTGATGCGGGGTAGTTGCTCAGTAAGTAGCACCTCTCTGTCCTTGCTGAGCTCACGTTCTCAGCAGTAAGAGGTAGGGGCACTGGGCTGGCCATCACCTCCACTCCCTGCCCGGGCTGTCATCACAGCAGCCTCCTCACTGCTCCCGTAGTCTTCTCTCCACTGCTCACTGGCTCCAGGCACAAGGGCCTCCTTGCTTGCTGTGGCAGGTGCCACGTTCTCTGCCAGCACCAGTTCTTGCCTCTCCTTGTATTGCAACCCCCATTCCTGCACAGCTGGCTTGTTCTTGTCAAGCTCCCATGTTCCATCTCTTAGGGAGGCTCCCCACTCCCATTACACAGCAGCCACTCGTGGTCATCAATCACCTCCTGTTACAGTCACTCATAACCCGTCACCCTTGCAGACCTGCCTTCCAGGTATTTGTTTGTTGTCTACTCCCACCAGGCTGTGAACTCCATGATCAGGGATCCCCTTGCTTCTGTTCCCTGCAGCTCGTGACCTGGCATAGTAGATGCTTAACAAATATTTGAGGAACAAATAGAAACATAAGTGAATGGACTTCTTAGATCTCTTCCATCTCTGTCTGTATTTTAAGATTCTGTGAAAGGTACTGAAATAACTGAGGCAATGCAATGGGGGCTTCTTAATGGAGGGATCAGACTGGCAATAGCAGAATGCACCAAACCTTCTTCTTCTTTTTTTTTTTTTTTTTGAGACGGAGTCTCGCTCTGTCGCCCAGGTTGGACTGCAGTGGCGCGATCTTGGCTCACTGCAAGCTCCGCCTCCCAGGTTCATGCCATTCTCCTGCCTCAGCCTCCCGAGTAGCTGGGACTACTGGCGCCCACCACCACGCCTGGCTAATTTTTTTGTATTTTTAGTAGAGACAGGGCTTCACCCTGTTAGCCAGGATGGTCTTGATCTCCTGACCTTGTGATCCACCCGTCTTGGCCTCCCAAAGTGCTGGGATTACAGGTGTGAGCCACTGCACCCAGCTGATGCTATGATTTCATGTGCCGGCCGTGGCCGGCGTCTTGAGCCCCTTTGCCTTCATTCTTCCCTAAGGGTGAGCAGTGCACCAGCGCCCCACACCTTCTTAGTATCGCCCAGAAAGCATTCTTAGTATGCTTCAGATGTGATCCCATAGAAAGGATGCAACACTTCCCAGGAAGTCTGCTAGCTAGAATAATTGACACTACATCACATCCACCCTCTGGACCTAAACGCCAGTCCACAGGAAGCAGGAGGACAGTGTAACATGTTAAATGACACCATGAGGGTTCGGTCCGCCACATCAACAATGAGGACAGTCTCACATGATGAAGGGCCTGGTTTCCTCAACAAGTAAAAGGGCATAACAAGGAAGAGAGAAAGGACTGTTAGAGAGGAAAAGAGATTTAAGAAATAAAGCACCAAAATGCAATGTATGGGCCAGGCACTGTGGCTCATGCCTGTAATCCCAACACTGGGAGGCCAAGGTGGGCAGATCACCTGAGGTCAGGAGTTCAAGACCAGCCTGGCCAACATGGAGAAACCCCATCTCTACTAAAAATACAGAAATTAGCCAGACGTGGTGGCAGGTGCCTGTAATCTCAGCTTCTCGGGAGGCTGAAGCAGGAGAATCGCTTGAATCTGGGAGGCGAAGGTTGCAGTGAGCCAAGATCACACCGCTACACTCCAGCCTGGCCAACAAGACCTTGTTTAAATCTTTATTCAAACAGACAAACCCTAAAATGGCATTTTTCAGGACAATGAGAAAATTTGAAGATGGACTGCATATTAGAGGATCTTAAGGAATGGTTCATTTTATTAGGTGTGGTGATGATGTTGGACTTATTTTTAGAAATGTGCTAATGTGAGAGAGATACATTCTGAAATATTAATGGGTGAAATGATCTGATGTCTGACAGTTTTGTTAAAAAGGGGCTTGAGGGAGGAATGGAATGAGAATGGCAAAGTGGAGATGGCGGTTAGAGCTGGGTGAGGGGTGTGTGGGAGTGCCTCATATCAGTCCCTCTACTTCTGTAGGGGTTTGAGATTTTCCACAATAAAAGTAAAATGGAATAAATAAAAGTGGGTCTGTACATATTTCATTTCTCTGGCTGTGGCCGTCCCCTTCCAGTTCTCCCCTCCTCCATGCCCCACATTCAGGCCCA